ACTTTATTTAATATAGATCTCACTGTAACTTGGTCTTGAACATCCAGTAGAAAAGTATAACTATATAAGACAATAGCTATTTGAGTCCAGCGAAAGTTTTAAGTTTTTTTTAGTCAACATTGTTTAAAAAAATAAATTTATTATTTTTCATCCTTTTACAGCCCCAATTAATAGAAATTATGCTTATAGACAGCTAAGCCAGTCAGACACACTATAGATCCTCACAATATATAGGGTCAAGTTATTGTTGGGTGTGCTCACTTTTCCTAAAAACACCTTCACATAAAACAAAAAGAAAGGGAGATATGTTGGGAGAAATGCTACATAATTCTAGGGAAAAATCATTTGAGTAGGCCTGGTTCTCCAGCCTACAGGCCAGCTATAACACTCCAAGACATAATTCCATTTTGGCCTCAGGTCACAAGGGAGATCTCAATGATCCCGTGATGCTGTAATGCTCCAGGACAAGACCACACCTGCGGGAGACGCCCTGGGGAGGACCAAATCTTCATCTGCATAGTTCTTCATTGTTCTTAGATTTCCGCCTCTCATATCTAATTTTCAATTAGGCTCAGCTTCTACTCTACATAAATTCAACATTCTGCTCAAGGTGATGCTACTAAGTTAGAAAAGAGACTTGTTACACTATGATGAATCTGCATCAGAGAGAAGATCCAGCCTTAGGCCCTCTATTGTAATTATTTTTGAATGCCCGTCTAGAATCAGATCACAGGGGACAAGGTGGCTAAGTGGTTAAGGTGATGGACTGCTAAAACCAGATCATAGGTTTCCACCCAGACTTGATTTCAAATCTCGGTCAGGAATTTAGGTGTGTGGTCCACTTTCCACATCCACAAGTGGACAAGGTACTTACATCTCATTAGATTGCTGAGCAATAACCGTGTGGATACCCTTGAAGTGCCCTGAACAGTGTCTATATGTAAAAAAAGAGTTTAATAAATGCTTACTATTTTTCTCCCCATCTCTACATAACCTACTTTTTATCTCTATAAAATAGAGGTTGTTACTAGAAATATGTCAAGATTTGCTTTTGCTTAAAGTGAGTATGATGTACTTTCTCAAACAGGTTTGTGGGTAAACTTTTTATACAGTCCAATACAATCTAATATAATCTACACTAAATGTAGCAGTAAATCTTTCCACACTACTATATTCTTTTGGCCTATCTATAGGCTTACAAAAGAGTATAGTTACATATTTAGGCCTAAAAAAAATGCTTCCTTCTAAAAGCTCTCTGGAATTATTTAATTAAAGAATGGGTTTGTCATTGATGAATTTCAGGGAATCAGGAATCTTTTTTCCTATTTTTTCATCATAGACTTATGTAGTCCTCAGAACTTAAGAAATCCTGGTCTACGATACCACAGTAAGAAGGAAGAACTCAGTCACTCACGATGCTCCTGAATTCATGATGCAGCTCTTTGCTCCACATACACAATCTCTCCCATCATCGTGATTCATTCCAAGGTTATGACCCAGCTCATGAGCAACAATGGACGCAAAGGTCTCCACAGTGATTTGCCCAAACTGTCCAAACACAGGAAGGTAGTAATTAGGTTTCTGAATAAAAAGGAAGCGTTTCGTTCCTCAGATTTTTTTTCCACAAAAGGAAATTTATGCACTAAATGTTGACAGCCTGTATGAATTGAGCATCCAATAATTCTAAACATCTCAGTCTAGTAAGAAAACAGTATGACTCACATACTGATAGTGGAGACAGACATTAAGCAATAGATCAATCACATTAGCCCAAACAGATTGATTATTCAAAATAGTTTATGGGAAAACAAGCAGGTGATTCTAACACTTCTTTTGAATAGATTGTTTTCTCAATCATTAAAAGATACTTATAAGCATAATAAAAATTTGGAAAGGTGATCCAGTATCTATGAAAAGAACACATTTTTTGTTTCTACTGTGTCCCTCATAATATCCAAAATATTGTTTTAAGGGTTAGGGAAAGCATACAGTCAATAAATCCTGCCCTAATGCAGATATCCAAAGCTGAACATTAAGAACAACATACCACATTGATCCCGCCTGCATGGCTCCTTGAACACACTGTTCCCACAAATGCCATTCCTGCAGTTCCACCAAAGCCTTTCTTTCTAAATGAAAAGGTAAAAGTTATAAAACGTACTTCTGGAAAAAGGAATACATATCCTATTTCTACCAGGTAATGTCAAATGGATTGCCAAAACCTACAAAAACTGGGCAAAAAAACTGCAAAGAAAAGTAACAATTTTCAAATGAGAATATAGCTCTGTCTTTTCTCCTTCCCATTATCAGAAAATGAGACTAATATCAGAAATGCATCTCAAAGTTTTTTCAGACACATGATACGTTTATATACACTAAGACAAGTTCTTTGTTTTTAAACTTCTAGATGAAAAACTTTCTGAAAATGTGTTGCATTTGTTTGTTCAACAAATTTTGATGAGGAAAGATAACAAGCTCAGGGAATTTATTCCCTAAATTTACAAGGGAGGCTGCAAGGCATGGAGCAGTTTTACTGAAAATTAATTTTAAAACTCAGGATTATGAGATTATAAAAGCCTATTTAGGCATTTTCAGTGTCTTGGTTTAAATCAAGCCAAATTCACAAGAGAAAACAAAAACAAGTAAAAAAATAATAATAATGGGAAAAGTCAGAGGACCAAGACAAGTCACCCAATAGCCTAGTAAAGGTAATCCCTGAAGAATAAAAATAAAATAGAAGATGAAATCACCTATAAAAGAATTCAATAAAAACTTCTAAAACTGAAGAACATCAGTTTCCAGATTGAAATCACTCACCAAGAACATAGTAAGTGACAAAAGACCTACCCAAAAATATCATCAAGAAAACTCAGAAGCCTGAGAGACAACAGAAGATCCTACAAATTATCACTGACAATGAAACACTACAGGTCACATACAAAGGACCAAGAATAAGAATGGTTTTAGGCTTCTGAGAGTAAAAACAGGGTCTGCAAGTGTAGCTTAATGGCAGAGTACTTGTCTAGCAGATGCAAAATCCTCAGTTTGATTGGGGAGTGGTCACTAGAGTTCAGAAGACAATAGCACAGTGCCTTCAAAATTGCCTAGAGGTAGGAATGTAGCTCAGTGCTATGGCACTTGCCCAGTGTGCAAGAGGCACTGGGTTAGATCTCCAGCACCACCTCTGAAAGACTGAGGATTAACCAGAACTCAAATTGAGAGCATCTTTAAATTTTTATGAGACTGTGAAAACACACTTTCAGATATGCAGTAGGTCAAAATTTTTTCTTTCCATATATCCTTTCACAAAAAGCAACTAGAAAATATGCTATGCCAAAATAAGGACATAAACTCAAGAATAGAGAAGGACATGGGATAAAGGGGAGGGGGAATCTAACACAGAAGTCTCGTTATCATAATGTCATATCCTATGTTATCAAACAACTAAGCTTTCCTCATTTAAATAAATCCAAAAAAACCTTGAGAATGAATACATATACATATATATATATGTCTAGTACAATAAATAAGCAGAAGTATTTTTCTCATCATTTCATTCACAGTACTTTTTCTAAACAACACTTACAGAACTAACTGTGCACTGTCATGTCTCCGACGTGTTATAAGAAACTTTTCCCGCCACTGCACAAAGTTCCCCAGCACATCACCAGCACCCCCAGCTATAATGATCAGGTTTCTGTTTGTCCAAATCTCCAGTCCAACTAGCACAACTCGAATATTTAACATAATATACATCTGGGAAGAAAAGAGAAAAGTACATAAAATACATTTTAAAATATGAGAAAAACCTTTTATCCATATGAAGTAACACAACTACTTAAATTAAGAACTCCCTCTTTCCAAAACAAAATCTTTTCAATGCACTCTAACTTCTCAGAAGTCTCAAAAATGATAAGTAACAGAGATTTATAAATGGTAAGTAACTGAGATTCAAAATCCTTTTTATTGCCCATTCTAAAACCTGACAACTCTGTGGTTGCACCACCTGCCTCGCAAGCATAAGGACCTGAGTTCAATCCCTGGTACCAAAAAAAAAAAAAAAAAAACCTGACAACTCTGAAAATTAACTTTTTGGTGAATTTTGTTCCAAAATCACCCTAGAATAATGCAAGTCTATTCAGATGCTGTTCTTATCCCACTGCTACAGTTTGGATCTGGAATGTTCCCCAGAAGCTGATGTGTTGGAATCTTGGTCTCAGGGGTAAGACTATGGGGAAGCTGTGGAACCTAAGACTCGAGGCCTAATGGGAAGCCTTGAAGGGACTGTAAGACCCATCCCTTCTTCTTCCTCACTTTTGCTTCCTGGCAATGAATGAAATGAGTGGTTCTGCTCCAACTCACACTCCTGCCATAATGTGCTGTCTCATCACAGGTCGGAAACAACGGGGCTAATGGAACATAGACTGAAACTTTCAAAACTGTAAACCAAAATAAATCTTTTCTCAGTAAAGGTTAATTATCTCAGGTATTTTGTTACTGTGATGGAACACATTTAAGGTAACTATTCATACCCTGCACTGCAGAAATACCAACAATTGTGATCATAAAGTGCTATCCTATGATCCTCTTGGAGGTGTTATACAATATATAATAAACCATAAAACCTTTCTAAATTTTATATAAAATTCTAATCACAATACAAAGATTTCAGATAAAGGATTATGGAACTCATATCTATTTCACAGAGGTGCCATGAGGAACAAATGAGTTAGTGATACAAGCCTAAGCTCCATTTCTACTACTTAGTAGAATGTTACCATTGTTATCACTGTCACTGCCATCATCATTCCTGATGTTCTTATCAGGGAAACAAATGCCTTATAGGTAAAATTATTTCATAAAACAAGTATTTAACTCTTTAATATCACCCATGAGATAAAATCTAGTATCTAAAACTAAATCACATATATACTAATTAATTACATAATTAAGACTGACATCAGTTTCAGGGGAGGAGACAGCCTTACGCAAAATAAGATTCTCTCAATAAAAATTTAAAGATCTTTTCATGAACAACAAAGTACCTGAGCCTAATATGAAACACTGTATTTCTCGGTCTTTTTTATACTTGTACATTCCTTTCAAACACTAAAAAAATTACAAGAAGAACTGGAAAAACATCTTTGAAAGACTGAGTCACATGAGCCTATGATAATTAGAACTCAAAATGAGACAATTTTTAAATTCTGTTCTGAGACTATGAATGATTGGGCAGAATAATCCTACTTGACAGAAAATACAACTTACACTATCCAAGTAGTTTGCTAAATGAATCATTTCTTCTCTCACAGCAGTCTGATTTCTTCCCATCATCTCATACTGTAAAAGCAAAGAAGGTAAATCATTATCATTAATGTAATTTAAGAATATCTATAATCTATTATAATGAAGATAAGAATCTAAGTATTTCCTCTAAACTAAAAATTGAGGCATTCAGATATTTACCAAAATTTCAAATTAATAAATCTAAATGATAGTCTAGTAATAAATAGAAATGAAAGAAAAACAGGCCCATGTGTCAAATGAACACAATGAAGTCTTCATTTTCTTCAAATTAGTGTAACTATTTCCTATTAATGTTCTTTTAATTCATTGTAATGCAAATATATTTTCCAGCATTTCCCAAATGTATTGCTTTAAATAATCAAAATGCAAAAATAATGAAATAAAAAGCAACCTAATAGATTTCCTGACCCTTTCACCTCCTAGGCAAATGACATTACCAATAAACCATTCCTAAACCCTACGCTAAAATAACTATGAGAAACTAGCTAATGATCGTGCATTGAAAAGTTATACGTGGATAGAAACATATATAAAAGTTTGACCATATTTAAGCAAAATAATTGATATGGCTAATTCTTTTCTGTGAGTCCCAGTTAAATTCTATTTAAACATTATTTTATACAAGCAACATACTAACCAAAAGAAAATTTTAAAAAACATTTTATAACTTTGCTCTATGATAAAATGTTAGTATCAGAATATATAACTTCATCAATTAGGCATGTTACCATAATTCTCCTACACAACAAAAAAAAGTAATATATTTGACAGGGCTTGATGGAAAGAAATGGAACCGTTTTTATCTTGAACCATTTTCTACCTGTATATTACAAATCTATTTGGAGACAGCAATAGAGAAAAGCATTTTAAATCTCTATTTTTGATAATTGGATATGCCTAAATAGGGTGCATTCCAAAGTAGTCACCTAGATGGTATATGTGTAAACAAGCACACTCCACTCAAAAGGACTCTATAATTCCAACAAAACTAGGTCATTATGTTTCTTATACTAATATGCTAACTGGATATGTTTTTCTCTTTACATTTTCCTTGTAAATGTCTGTAACCATTATCTGTTAACATCCTGCAGGAATGTGACTTCTAGCAGACAATCTGAGCAATGTTTTGATGACGGACCATCACATACAAGACAAACAGGATGAGACACTGACACCCAATATCCAGAGGAAATTACAGGTGTTAGAATTAAGATCCACTACTCTTACTCCTAAGGAAATCAGAGACTTAAAAGTTATGTTTTGCTAAAAACTATGACTTCACTTGGGTCTGCAAATGTCCAATAGGTAACAAAAAGTAGAACAAAGTTCGACTTTAATTTTGTAAAGCTCTGGGTCAAAACTTTCTGAGCTCTGCAGATAGGCATGTTAGTCATTCAGGGAATGTCTGTCTAAAAGTGACAAGGCAAGGTTTATTGGCCCTAAAATTTACTTAGCCTATCTTACAACCCTTCAAGAATGAAAATACCAGACAAACAGATTTATAGGGACACTCAGCTAACTCAGAAGTCTCCAGTCATTGTCCCGAACCTGTGATTATCTGGATTCCAGGAAAACTGGAACCTGACATAACTGAAACCTCCACAGAGACCATCCTTTCATGAGAACAGAAACACTCTGCAACCTTAAGGATTCCAGAGCTATAAACCAGGATGGAGATAATCATCAGCCAGACCCCAGCCCACCAGCTAATCCTTAGAAGATGGCCTCTGACCCATGCCGGTGCACCAGCCCAGTGCCCTTCATCAGAGTTACTGCAGTTACTATTCAATCTGGAGTTCTTTCCTATTTTTCTTACTTTCCTGTGTTGCAGTCTGGAGTGATCTTTTTTTTTTTTTGGAACCAGGGATCGAATTCGGGTCCTTGCGCTTGCGCAGCAGGCAGCGAAACCACTGAGCTAAACCCCCAGCCCTGGCGTGATCTTTGTCAGCTCCCTCAAGCTAAAGTCCCTTACCATTTTCTCTTACTTTCTTTTCTAAGTAAAGCTTTTCTCAAACAAACAAACAAATCAATCTATCTCTACTTTTTGTGACTTGTCCAAAATATTCTACAGATATATTTTACCACCCTTGAAGTCATAGGTGTAGGCAAGGATTTTTTTTTAACAGAGCCCCAGTTGCACAGAAAATAGGACTGAGAATCAACAAATGAGATTATGTCAAATTAAAAAGCTTCTGCACAGCAAAAGAAACAACCAACAAAGTGAAAAGACAATCTACAGAATGGGGAAAATGTTTTTGCCAGGTATTCCTTGGAGGACTTATATCTGGACTATATAAAGAACTCAAAAAAATTAGACACTCCCCCAAATAAAAGAATCAAAAAAGGGGCAAGCGAAATGAATAGACACTTCATAGAAGAAGAACAAATGGCCAATAAATACATGAAGAAATGCTCAACACTGCTGGCCATTGGAGAAATGCAAATTAAAGCAACACTCAGATATTACCCCAGAAAGAATGGCCATTATCAAAAAAGTCAAATAATAACAAATACTGGCAAGGCTGCAGGGAAAACGGAACCCTTCTGCATTTTTGGTGGGAATGTAAACTAGTACAATCACTTTGGAAAACAGTACAGAGACTCCTTTCCTCAAAAAGCTAAAACTAGAAATTCCATTTGACCCAGCCATTCCCTTTCAGAGAATCTTCCCAAAAGAGTTAAAGACATCATATTACTGTCATATATGCATACTCATGTTTATAGCAGCACAATTCATAATAGCTAAATCAAGGAAGCAGCCTATCTGTCCATCAACAGATGAAGGGATAAAGAAAATGTGGTATTTACACACAAGAATGATAAACAATGAATCATTTCTAGGAAAAGAGATGCACCCCTATTATAGTTTGTATCTAGATGACCCCCCCACACACCCGAAGCCTCATGTGGACATAGGTGGGGTTTTTCAGAGGTGGCTAGATCTAGGGTATATGATGCTAGAATTAAGTAGGTGATGCTGGCATGAAGTGTGTGATAGTGGGACTAAGGGTATAATGTTGGGATTAAAGGTGGTATAGGTGGCACTGCCCAAAGGGCAAGTAGCCTGGATGAAATATAAAGGCAGGCTTGAATGCTATTGCTGCTTGCTATTTTGGTGCCTCCTGCCTCCTCTGCGATGTCCCTCTGCCATGCAACCCTGCCTTGGAGCCAGCCTACTATGGACTGAAACCTCTACAAACTGTGAGCTGAAATAAACCTTTTCTCCTTTAACTTTGGATGTTAGGTATTTCGTCTCACCAATGAGAAAAATAACTAAGACAGATTTTTGTACTGAGTGGGGTCATTGCTGTGACTGTACCTGACTATGCAGTTCAAGAGCCTTTGGAACTGGCTTGTGGGAAGAGTTTTGAAAGATTTGGAGGTGCCAGCTGAAGAAGCAGCCCTGCAATGCCTTCAGCTATACTTGATGAGAGATTCTGGTCAGAGCTCAGAAGATCAGAAATGCAGCAGATAAAGACTAAATAAAGGGTCAGGAGGTTTCTGCTGGGAAAAAGGACTGCACTGGCTGTTGGACTCCAGAGCATGTGTGTTATCCTTTGGCAGAAAATTTGTCTGGATTTCACTCATGTCCAGGGACTTTGCTTGAGACTGAGATTAAAGGCAGCCAACTATTAACCTTGCAGAAGAAATTTCAAGGCAGTCTAATGTTGAGGCCATGGCATGGCTGCTGTTGGGGGCTTTTAGCCATATCTATGTTGAAAATCAAGAGCAAAAAGCCCAGAAGAACAATTTTAAATGTTTTGAGTTTGGCCAGAAAGGAAGCTCCAGTAAAGTTGTGGACTGCAAAGATGGAGCAGAGGAGAACTTGCTGAGAAGAAATAGGACAACAGAAAAGATGGCCTAAGGATATCACAAGAACCAGCAGGACTCTACCCTTTGCAGTTTCAAAATTGCAAAGGTGAAAGACATTGCTTTGAGAATAGAGCACCAGAGCACCATGTTCCAGAATGGTAGTGGCCTATGGAATCTGTTTCCTAAGACTGGGTTCAGAGTTTAATCCAGGTATTTGACCCCTACACCCAAAAAAGAAGGAAGCCTGGCTACTGCTCCAGCTGGCAGCATACTTTGGTGTCATCCATGTGGTGCTGACTTTAGGTACATGCAAAATGTAAAAGTTGTGGGGTCAAGAAGGCTTCCACCCAGATTTCAGGAGGCCTGGGGTGCCAGGCAGTGTGCCCCGAGAGGGTAGTACGTGAAGCTGTGAATGTGAAGCTGAAGGTGCAGTGGAGACCCCAGACATTCGGAGAAGAGTGTGGATCATCTAAGGAAAGGCATAAGAAGTGAGCAAAGCCAGCCCAAGAGAGAAGCTGTGGGAGCTACAACCATCGGCAGTGCTACAGCAGTGGAGCTACCCAAACCCTTTGGAGTTCACAACTTGCAACAGACTGCACTGGATGATGGACATGGAACTATGCTATTTTTCTTCTGTACTTTTATTTTTATTTTATTTTTTTTTATTAAATTCTTATATAGGTACGTTGTAGGTATACAACACAATTACATTTCTCATTGGG